AAGTATAGTAGAATACTTAGTACCTAGTCCCAGCCTAAGACATGAGATTCTGAGAGCTTGGATTACAGCCTCATTATGCCCTGGGATTATGCTCTGCAGAGATATCCATCAGCATGATTCAATTTCCAAAAGCAAATTTTGCCACTATGAGCACTAAATGTGGTGTAGGAGCTGGCTAGATGGCTCAGCAGATACAGGCACTTGCCACCCTCCCTGATGACCTAAGTTCATCCCTAAGAACCACATGGTAGAAGGAAAGAGCCAATCACCATCCACCAAGTGGTCATCTGACCTCCACACCTGTATTATACCACACACACACACACACACAGACACACACAGGTACTTGCTGAAAAATGAATACTGGGAGCTGGCAAGAAGGCTCAGTGGGTAAGCCTGGAGACCTAAGGTGTTAGAATCAACTCCCAAAAGTTGTTCTCTGACTTCCACATATATATCAGCATACACATATTCACATATATAGATATGCTGTATGTATACACATGCAAATATATCGAGCTATCCAGCCAGGGATGGTGGTGCACTCCTTTAATCCTAGCACTCAGGAGGGAGAGGCTGGAGGAGCTCTCTGAATTTGTGGCCAGCCTGGTCAACATAGTGTGTAGTTCTAAGACAGCCAGGACTACAAATGAGAGATCTGTCTCAGAAAAACAAAACACAGTAAACCAATACCAATGTGCACCTAGCAAGTCACCTCCAGAACTCATGAATTTCTTTCTCTTTAAAAAGCAAAGAAAAAAATTACAAAAATAAATAAAAATTTCTGAGAGTTCTATGTATTAAGTTCAGCATTCTTTTTAAGATTTATTTATTTATTTTTATGGGTGATTGTTTGGCTACATGTATGTTTATGCATCACGTGCATGTCAGGTAGCTATGGAAGACAAAGGAGGATGTGGACCCTATGATATAAAGTTACAGTTGGCTATGTGGGAATGGGTCCCAGGCTCTCGCAAATAGATCAAGCGCTCTTAAGCAATGAGCCATCTCTCCAGCTCCAGGAGTCAAGATTTCTTACATGGGCTAGAGAGGTGACTCAGCTGGTAAAGTACTTGCTGTAAAGCATGAAAACCTGAATTTGGATCCCCAGTCCAAAAGCTGTGTACAGTGGTGTGCACCTTTAATACCAGTACATCGGAGGTAGACAGGAAGATCACTATTGCCAGCCAGCCTAGCAAAATCAGTAATTCTAGATTCACTGAGAAATCCTGTTTCAAAAAATAAGGTGGAGAATGACTAAGAAAGATATTCCATGTTAACCTGTGGCTTCCAGATGCACATACTAGCACCACATACATGTGCTTACACTTACATTTACATGCACACAGATTTTTTTTTTAAAGATTTATTTATTTATTATGTATACAACATTCTGCCTCCATGTATGCCCACACGTCAGAGGAGGGCGCCAGATCTCAGTACAGATGGTTGTGAGCCACCATGTGGATGCTGGGAATTGAACTCAGGACCTCTGGAAGAGCAGCCAGTGCTCTTAACCTCTGAGCCACCTCTCCAGCCCCCGCACACAGATTCTTATACTGCTCAGCAAAATGAAAGTTTTTGTTGCTCATCCATAAGTGCTGATTTAAAATGTATAAGTTGGTCAATAGAACATCATAGTTACTAATGTTAGCTTTTAAAGCAAATGTTCAAAATGGTTAATGTACAAGAAAAATGCTAAAACTTGGCATGGTGGCACATATCTATAATCCCAGTACTGGGAGGCAGAGTTGATTTTGGAACTACCCTGGATTACACAGAAAGACTTTCATACCAAACAAGGCTTGGGGATGTAGAAAAGCACCTGCCTAGCAGTGCAAGGCTCTGGGTTTGATTCCTAGCACTGAAAAAAAAAATTTTAACTAATTAAGCACAGTTCTTCATATTTTAATATGAATCTTAAATGCTAAAAAGCTGCTTGACAGTCGGGCAGTGGTGATACACGCCTTTAATCCCAGCATTTGAGAGGCAGAGGCAGGTGGATCTCTGTGAGTTCGAGGCCAGCCTGGTTTACAAGAGCTAATTCTAGGACAGGCTCCAAAGTTACAGAGAAACCCTGTGTCAAAAAAAAAAAAAAAAAAAAAAAAGGCTGCTTGACATGACAAGCAGGTGGTAATGGTGGCACACATGATTTAATCCCAGTACAAGCAGATCTCTGAGTCTGAGGTTATTCTGGTCTACAGAATGAGTTCCAGGACAGCCAAGGCTACACAGAAAAACCCTGTCTCAAAACAAAACAACACAAAACAAAAAGGTACTTGACAAATCTAATACACATTCCTAATGGAAACACTTTAAAACAGCAGGAAGTGCGGCCACCTCAAGGCTAAGAGCGTCCAGCGTAATGAGCACACTAAGCTAGCAGGGCTGCCATGCTGTGTCCCTGACTGAAGCTGGCCCGAGGCAGACGGGCACTAGGACAGGAGAGGTGGATCCAGCTACAATCTGGACCTGTGCTGTTAGTGAGCTGATCAGGAAGCAAACATCATGATGTGAAGGGGCCAGCTTTAGAAACTATCAGACAGACGGCAGCAGAAAGCACCTGGCAATACAGTAGAAAAGGATAATGAGGGTGGAACACACCTGGGAACTGCCTGAACGGCCAAGGTCAGGACCTAACAGAAATGAAACCGCTTTTTCTGAAAAAAAAAAAAAAAAAAAGAGAAATCTTTTTGTGGGGAGCTGAGGGAGACAGGGTCTAACTATGTATCCTTGATTGGCCTGGAACTCATTATGTAGACCAGGCTGCCCTTGAATTCATAGAGATCTGCCTGCCTCTGCTGGGACTAAAGGAGTATATCTCCACACCGGATGGAAATGTCTGAAGAAAGCAGAGGGAAGGCAGGTAGTTTAGCAGTAGAAGACGGCTTAGTGTAAGGTCCTCAGTTCCATTCCCGCTCTTTAACCCCAAATCTTGGGAGATGGGGTAGCAGGATCAAGAGTTAAAGGCCAGCCTCAGCTACAGGAGATTCTGTTAAAACAAACAAACAACTGAGGTGGTGGCCCACACCTTTAATCCCAACACTTGAGGCAGAGGCAGGAGGATCTCTTAAATTTGAGGCCAGCCTGGTCTATAGGAGTTCCAGGACAGCCAGCGCTACACAGAAAACCCCATCTCTGAAGAAAAAAAAAAGGAAAAGAAAAAGAAAAGAAGAGAAAAAGAAAAGAGGTGCTAATCTTGGGAGTATTCTTCCCAAAATGAACCTAGCAAGCCCAAGGGTTTAGGTTCTATTCTCAACACTACAAAACAAAACAAAAACTGCCAATCTCAAGTGGTTTGACAGGTTTAATGGTGTCTCAGTCATAACTCCACAAAGGTTGTTGTAGAGTAGAAGAACTAACAGATTCATCTAGGACACTCAAAATCTCAGAGTAATCAGGATGAGGAACTGGTCCCTACACGAGTGTCAGCTAGAGAACTTAGTAAGGAAAATGGCATATGGTTGATCCCAGTATTAATCATATATACTGCCCTGCAGTAAGGATTACTATCTAGGCCAATTCAGTCATAAGTCACAGTACCTATCAATCACACCTTCATGAATTTACAGAGGGAAATGGAGCCTACAGAGCACTCCCCTAACCTCCACTTGGTGTTGGTACTTTAAAACCAAATCCTATTCTAACTCCTCCCGAGTTCCAAGAGCAAGGCCTACTGGACCTCACCAGCTCACTAGCATACTTCAGGAAGAGTGAAAGAAACTAAGCCAGGTAGTGGTGGTGCCTTTAATCCCAGCATTTGGGAGGCAGAAGCAGGTGGAGCTCTGTGAGTTTGAGGCCAGCCTGGTCTATAGAACAAGTTCCAGGACAGCCAGGGCTGTAACACAGAGAAACCCTGTCTCAAAACAAAACAAACCCCCAAAAACAAACATAAAAGTGTGAAAGCAGCTGTGTACACAGACATTAATGCCACTACTAGCAGCACAAAGACGGCTCCATGACAGAGGTCTTGAGACTATCCAATGAGAAGTCAAATGAACATCTCACTCAACAGGCGCACAGTGGCAGCCCACACAGAAAGGACTCTTTCAGTCAGCTGTGCGGGGATCTGACCAAATGATGGGTATGCAGTAGCCATCCAGCCACAGCCACAGAAATGAAGCTGTGTCCAAGAAGCCTGCAGGCCTGTTCATCCCAGAACTTAACAGGGCATCAAGTCAAACATGCTTTAACAGAAATCAAGTCTTCACAAATGACTTGTCTTTATTTTAGGGAATTAATAAATCTGTTACAAGAAGCACCACTGGTTGTATTTCAGAGCGGAGTAATCAGTTCACAGCTCCAAGTGAACACAAACCCTCCAGAAATGAGAAGAGCAGAGAAGGGAGCACTATTGGTTTCCTGCTCTCCCAGAGGAAGTGACAGGGACATGGAAATGGAAGGAGATGAACCCCCTTTCACTGACCTGAGCTGACAGCCAAGGGCATCTCCTGGCCCTGTCCTTAGGTACGACAGGGCTGAGGTAGAAACTCAGGCTGCAAGAAGCACAGCAACCTGGGGCAAAGTCCAAGCCTATATACAACAGAGAGTGTTGGTGCCACTTTCAAGAACATCCGGGAAACTGGCTTTCCAATGCCATGAAAGCCTTATCTGAAATGCTGCCACCATCTCATAGGCACTGTCATCTTGTAGGCTTTAGGTACCAAAGGGAATGGCTAAATACACGATACTCACTCTGCATCCAGAGAGAGGTGAGGGGCATACTGTGAGCATCCCTGATGCAGGTACCTGTCGTGGAATAATCTTTTTGTACACTGTGAAGATGTGTCACTTGGGTTGGTGTAATAAAAAGCTGAACAACCAATAGCTAGGCAAGATTTTCAGGACAGAAAGGATGCTGGGAAGAAGACAGGAGATGCCAGAACACAGAGCAAGCAGCATGGGCAAAATAAAGGACAAAATAAAGGTAACTGAGCCATGTTAAAAAAATAGTTTAAAAGACACGGGTTAATTTAAGTTATAAGAGTTAGTTAGGAAACAAGCCTAAACTATCAGCTAAGCTTTCATAATTAATAATAAGTCTCCAGGTCATGATTTGGGAGCTGGCTAGTGGGACAAAGAAGATTAGCTGCAGGTACCCTTGAAAGACCAAAGTATTCAAGGGAGGGTCTGCCTTGTCCTGAACAGATCCCAAAACACCCAATACTGCCACAAACAGCTGAAAAGAACTAAGCAAGATTCTGTGGAAAGCCACTAAAGAGTTCAGCTGTGTGAGCACGGGGTGATTAGTCATACCAGGTAGACAAAACTATACTTATAACAACTACACCAAAAACCAGATGCCTAAGTAAAAATGTCAGGCTGGGCATGTCAGAGCACACGTGTAATTCCAGTAACTGGAAGGCTAAGCAGTAGGGTCGTCAAAAATTCAAGGCCAGTCTGAGCCATACAACCTACATATGGAGACCCTGTCTCACAAAACAAAAACAAACTGGGAGGTAGTGTCTGCTTTTAATCCCAGCACTCAGGAGGCAGGGACAGGTGGATCTCTGTGAGTTTGAGGCCAGCCTGGTTTACAGTGTGAGTTCCAGGACAGGCTCCAAAGCTACAGAGAAACACTACCTTGAAAAAAACAAACAAACAAAACCTAATAGACAAAAATAACTACCAAAATGGAAGTACACCAAAATGCCAGTAGTATACATAACTGGGTACTAGGATTATGGTACTTATTCTCCTAAAATTCACCAACATTATATGGTTATCACCATTGAAGCAAACACATGAAGATTTTTTTTTTGTTTGTTTGTTTTTTCGAGACAGGGTTTCTTTGTGGTTTTGGTTCCTGTCCTGGAACTAGCTCTTGTAGACCATGCTGGTCTTGAACTCACAAAGATCTGCCTGCCTCTGCCTCCCAAGTGCTGGGATTAAAGGCGTGCGCCACCACCGCCCGGCTAACATATGAAGATTTAAAGGAACACAAGCAAGGAATAAAGAAGCTGTCAGTTCCAGGTGTATGGCCAACATCCTCAAGCACACATGCACAGTGACACATTCAGTGATGGGCTTACTTACTCATGGCTTATCAACCCCACGGTGCTGGTACAACTGAGACAAGCTTGATCCCTCCGACTACCTATGACAAAAACAAAGAAAAGTCAGCAAACAGGTGTCAACCAGGCATCTTTGAAGGTCTGAATGGAACCTACCAGTAAGTTTCTGGAAGACTGTTATACATGATGAAGGGCTTCAAAGCACAGTGGAACAGAGCATCTAATCTCCCTCGTTGGAAACTGGGTCTGAGGCTAAGTCCCAGGGAAGGAGCACTGAAGGCCCGTGGTCTTCTCCCTCTGTGGGACCCCTTTCTACTAGCTATTGTTGGTGTAGGTAGGCAGGGGGAAGGGCACACTGAATCCTAGCAAGCAGACAACCTTACAGACCAAACAACAATTCCAAGGGACAAGAACTACTAGGGAAAAAGAAATACCAAGAAGCCCCTATAAGGCTGGCAAGATGGTTTAGTCACTTGCCCTCAAGACCTAAGTTTAATCTCAGTGCCTACATGGTAGGAGAAATAAATCCCAACAAGTTGTCTTCTAACCTCCGTAAGCATGCTATGGCATGTCCAGGAATACATGCACACACACAATGAATGTAGTTAAAGCAAAATTTTTATTTATCGTAATATTATTGTCTTGTTTTTGGTTTTTGAGATAGGGTTTCTCTGTGTAGCCCTGGCTGTCCTGAAATACCCTGTAGACCAGGCTGGCCTCAAACTCAAGAGATATGCCTGCCTCTACCTCCCAAGTGCTGGGATAAAAAGTATGTGTCATCACGCTTAGCAAAGCAAAATTTCTAAAGGAAGCCACTTATGGAAAAACAGTAGAGATGATCACTAGAACACACTTTGGACACTTTCCCTAATCCACTCTAAGTCTCCTGACACACTGAGAGTTCATTCACACCATTGTGTGAATCAGGAAGGATGGAGAGAACAGGCTCTCTGCACAGTGGGGACCAGAGGTACCATTCTCAGCAGGGGCCAGGCGGCCCACGTAGAGGTCAGGCAATAGCAAGGGCCAGCAAGGTCACCTTGGCCCAATCCTCCAAGCAGTGGGAGTAGCAGTAACAGCATCCATTTACCAGTTTATGTCAGGAGGGAGCTCTTCTGGCTCTATGCGGAAAGAGATCACATTTAGGGTCTGCTAGAACCTGGAAAATTCATAACAAAGATATTGGCTACATTGTTATTATAAAATCATGTTTGTTTTTAAATTTTATTTTTGTATTTATTTATTTTATGTGCACCCATTCAGAGGTCAGAAGACAACTTGCAAGATTTGGTTCTCTTCTTTTACCATGTGGGTCCTGGGATTGGAACTCAGGTAAGAAAACAAGAACCTGAGCCATCTAGCTGGCCCTCAGCTACATTCTTACAAGCAACAAGTGTTACATGGCTTTTATTTTTTAATGTTAAGTTTCTGTGACTGAAAGTGTTACATGTTAAATCCAGACTAGGGCCACCCAAATTTTTCCAAACTCTTCTTAATCCAAAGAGGCCCAGAACTTCCTCTCTGCCCCTTCCAATCCTACTTCTACAGGATTTGGCTCAGAAACACCCCCAGAGCACCCCGAAGATGGGATGGGTGGACTTTACTCTGATCCCTTCCTGGGTTCTCCCCGAAATAACATCTGAGGGCTGTTCCTGCTCCACTGTCAAAGTCATCCAGGGTGACAGGCTTTGCAGGCCCATATTCCACTAAGCTACACAGGCTGCCTATATTTCTGCTGTCTGTAAATTTGGGGTTTGGTCTAAAGAGACAGCTCAGCAGTTAAAAGTACTTGCTACTCTTGCAGAGGACTTGGGTTCAGTTGCCAACATTCACATTGACTGGCTCATAACTGCCTGTAACTCTAGTTCTATGAGTTCCGGTCTCCATAGGCACCTGCATCCATACAGACACACAAGTACACATAAATTTTCAAAGTCTAAAATAAGGTTTTTAAAAAATTTTATGTGCATTGATGTTTTGCCTGTATATATGTCTGTGTAAGATTGCCAGATCTTGGAGTTACAGACAGCTGTGAGCTGCTATGTGGGTGTTGGGAATTGAACACAAGTCCTTGGGAGCAGTCAGTGCTCTTAACTGCTGTGCCATCTCTTAAGACCCTCTTGGTTTTGATAATTTGCTAGAACAAGTCACAGAACCCAGCACAGTGCTCTGGTCATTGTCACAGTTTACCACAAAGCATACAAGTGAATAGCCAGAGGAGACAAGGACATGCCCAGGACAGTCCTGAGCAACCCAGGTTCTTCCTGCAGCATTCTTTCCTCTGGTCCATTGACCACTATATATTCTCCGCCTCCTAGGATGTTAGGGTTAAGTCCTAGCCCTCTAATCTCACTACAGCTCACTACAGGCCTCTCCTCATCTCCCCTCATCTACCTAGGCCTATTCCCTACTTTCCTTCAGTAACAAACCCAGTCGGGTGTGGTGGCACATACCTTTTTTTTTTTTAAAAGATTTTTTTATTTATTATAAAATAACAACCTCTTAACCTCTGAGCCATCTCTCCAGCCCCACCTTTTTTTTTTTAAAGCTTTATTTATTTATTATGTATACAGTATTCTGCCTCCATGTATGCCTGCAGGCCAAAAGAGGGCACCAGATCTCATTATAGATGGTTGTGAGCCACCATGTGGTTGCTGGGATTTGAACTCAGGACCTCTGGAAAAGCAGTCAGTGCTCTTAACCACTGAGCCATTTCTTCAGCCCCTGGCACATACCTTTAATCCCAGCACTTGAGAGGCACCAGCCTGGTCTATAGAGTGAGTTCCAGGATAGCCAGGGGTACCCAGGGAGACCCTGTCTGGGCGGTGGGGGGTGGGAGGGGTAAAACCCATTGCTGTTAATCACTCCAAAAGCTTTAGGAACTCAGTGTCAGGAACAGGGATAAAGACTAAATGTCTTTCCCTGCTTCACCTGGTCTCCAAGAGACTTTTATATCTTTCCAGGCAATGTCCTCCCTGACCTTCATGCAAAGCTTCCAGGTCTGGGGACACCCTACAGCTGTCAACAGCTGCAGGAACTCGTCTCACCCCAAGCCAGTCTTCTTTGGTTTCCCTGAGCCTTGACTAGTCCTCACAGGCTTACAAAGTGACAGTGTGGACTGGATGCTTCTTTCTCACACACTCCAGATCTGTCGGCCGACTTCTGCATACCAAGTGACTTCCTTTCACAGAGGACAGCATAGCAAGGCGAAGGGGAAGGAAAGAAACGTCACATTTCGGCTGGGGAACCAGATCAACATCAAACATGATGAGTTTACCTTAACTGCAGCATGTATGAGAAAAGTGCTGAAAATCTGTGCCTTCCACCCCAGAACTCCTCAGCAAAACACCAAAAGAGACACCCTACAACACACCTGACCTAAGTACTCATCAAAACTGGCAAGGTCAAGAAAATCAAAGGAAATAGGAGAAATTGTTACAATTTCAAGAGCCACAAGGACTAACGGAATGTGTCTCGGAAGAAAACAAAAAAACACAAAGAGAATGAAGTATGTCACACAAAAGTGCAGAATAAGGTAGGTACTCCAGAGTCAAGAAAATTTTGGCACAATGTTGCCCTCAACTTATTCACTGTGATTAAAAACTAGGATGTTCATCCTATGCCTACTGCCTCTGACAGCACATTATTCCAGTGAGTCCCCTACCAACTACCCAGCCCTGCCCTACTGGTTCCGCAACTAACCAGCTGACTAACCCATTATCAGGGAAGCAGTACTTCTGTTCAAAGGGCACTGGTTAACTACAGAAAACATTCTTTTTTTTTTAAATATTTATTTATTTATTATGTATACAATATTCTTTCTGTGTGTATGCCTGAAGGTCAGAAGAGGGCACCAGACCTCATTTCAGATGGTAGTGAGCCACCATGTGGTTGCTGGGAATTGAACCCAGGACCTTTGGAAGAGCAGGCAATGCGCTTAACCGCTGAGCCATCTCTCCAGCCCCAGAAAACATTCTTATGCCTAGAATAATAAGGACATACACAAAAACTACCAGATAATTTTTAATCCATAATTAGGCTATAGAAATAAGAAAGGCCAGAAGTACTTGAACAAGTTAACAGGTGGACAGCTCTTAGGGCAGAGGGAGCTTGAAAGACCGCACCAAACCCAGACTTTGCTGTCTTTCTACCGATCGTAACTGACTTCGTTGCTGTTGTTGTTTTGTTGTGTGTACCCTGGCCTAAAATTCGAAAGGTAGACGAGGCTTGCCTGGAACTCAGAGATTCACCTGCTTCTCTCTGCCTCCACAGTGCTGGGATTAAGGGCATAGGCCACCACGCCTTGCTCCACACCACGCCTTGCTCCAACTATTAAGGTGAGAACTGTGCTTCTGTCAGTAAACTATAAAGTCCTGGGTTCCACTCTCGTAGACCAAGTTTTATCCTTACCGTAACTTACAATCAGGACACATCCAAGTTTCCTTAAAAAACTCCAGTCAGCGGCCACCCCCCACCCCAGGAAGCGGCCCACTGTGCTGGCATCACCCAAAACCCCATCTCCCTTCCCCGGAGTTCCGGCTTCCAGGTCTGAGCTGGCCAAAGGGCACGCCTGGGCTCTGTTCATCACCGAGGGGAGCGCCAGGGCAGCCACCGCCCTAAGGAACTTTCCCAACGCCTCCGTCGGTAGCGGTGACCTGCGGCGACCAGGGCAACTAAGGTCACAGTGAAGCTGCCCAGCCCCGGTGGCATAGAGCCGCCGGGTGCTTGTCATAGCCGCGCTGCCTCGGGGCATGGGGTAGATGGGTGTCCCGCGCAGGACCCTGGCCACCCACAACAGGTCTCTGCTGTGCCGCGGCCACTTACCCCGCGGGGAGGCGGCGTGGGGAGGCGCGAGGCGGGCAGGGCCCCGGCCGCGGCAGCTCCTGAGCAAGATGGACGCCATGCGCCCGCCGAGGCGGCGTCCTATGGCGAGCCCCGCTTCCTCGGCGGCTCGTCGCCGTCCCGACGCCTGGGACCGGCCCGCGCGGACTGTTGACGGCAGCAGTTAGCTCCGGCAGCAGGCAATCAGCTTAAGGACCCGGTACCGGCAGCGGCCATGTCCCGGCAAAGACGTCCGGAGGCGCGGGGCGGGGCTGGCCGGGCCGGCGCTGCTCCCATTGGCCCGGAGGCGCCCGCTCTGGCTAGGTGAGGGGCGAGCCCGCGCCAGACTACCAATCCCAGTGTGCAACGGGCGGCCAGTTCCCCGACTAGCCATCCCGGCGTGCACCCGGGTGGCTTTCCTACCCCGACTGCGAGCGCTCACCGAGGCTCCTCCTGAAAGGATGAGCTGCTTGCGGTTTCTGGCTGAGCTCAGGACTTCCTGGAGTCAGTCTTGCATGTTCGCAGCTCCGAGCCTCGGAGTTTCGTTTATCGGCGAAGTGGCGGCAGAAGAACCGACTTCTTGCTTCCTTGCAACTAAGCTTATTCTAGGTGTAGCAAATGGCTCATGGGACTTTGTAGAAGGCTAGGTAGGGAGCAGATCGCTCTCCGAGGACAGGGCGACAGACTCCCGGAAGGAGGCTGTACTAGCTGGTCCTAGCTCCCTGGTTCGAGGTCAGGCCAGCAACCCTACTCCGTAATGGTCTGTGCTCTTGGCGAGTCACCTCTGTGGAAGCCCACAGCTACCCTGCCCACTCCAGAATAGATCTGGCCGAATAGATCCATCTGGAATGGCAGGCTGCGAGGTTGTGGAGACCTAAGACCCTACACACTCCACAGATCTGCAACCTAATCCCAGAGCACCAGACCTTTCCTTGAGACTTGATTGCTTCCCACCACCCGGCTTTGGTTCTCTGCGGAATGCTTTTCCCATTCTTGCCTTGTTTCTGTGGTGTGAACTCAGCAGAGTAGGCGAGGATCCTCAGTATGAATTTAATTCTCTAGATGCAACAAGTTCTGATTCCAGCTGGCCCCCGGCAAGGATGTTTAACTAGTATCCCAGCATAGCCTATTAGGAAGGAGTAACCTACTTGGTCATTTTTCTGAACCAGAACATAACTAAGAGTTAGGCCTGCGACGGCAGGATTTCCCATCACAGGACTCAGATGAGAGAGGGTTCCCAACGATGTCTGGAAGCTCTCCTGTGCACTAGGTAGTGTGGACAGCAGATGCAGAGTTAAGTCGAGTATAGGGATGGCAGTTGAGCATAAAGATAAGCACACTTGCCTCACAAGAAAAGCATTATTCGGCTTTGACTATAAAACTTTACCCCACAAAGTTTCTCATCCTGTCCTATAAATCCCCCCAAACTCCTGCACTGGACTTAACTGTTATGGGATATTTGTCCACTGTGTGAAAGTGTATTTTGCTGTGACTGGTTTAATAAAAAGCTGAACAACGTTCCCCTGTCCCAAAAAAGCACTAAGCCTATCAGTGGTGGCACGTGCCTTTAATATCAGCACTCGGGAGGCAGAGGCAAGCAGATCTCTGTGAGTTCGAGACCAGCCTGGTCTACATAGTGAGTTCCAGGACAGGCTCCTAAGCTACCGAGAAACCCTGTTTTGAAAAACCAACCAAACAAACAAACAAAAAGCTGGCAGACCAATAGCTAAGCAGGAAGTATAGGCAGAATTTCTGGGGAGAGAAAGGAAGAGGAATCTAGGTACAGGGGAGACACCAGGAGATGCAGAAAGGAAATAGGAGGTGCAGGATGGAAGAGAGGTGTAACAAGTCTTTTTCCGAGGCACCAGCCAGCTCCCAGATAATGACATGGAGACTTCTTATTAATTATGAAAGCTCAGCCTATAGCTTAGGCTTGTTCCTAACTAGTACTTATTAATTAAATTAACCAGTTTCGATTAATCTGTTATGCCTCATGGCTTTTTACCTTTCTTTCCTTCTGTATGTCTGACTACCTCTGTGTTTCATTTGGCGTCTCATATGGCTAGATTCATCCCAAGTTCTTCTCCTTTTCCTATCTAATACCATGTGATATGACATAGGTTTATGTAAATGAGTTAATTTAAGTTATTAGAGATAGTTAGGAAGAAGCCTAAGCTATAGGCTGAGCTTTCATAATTAATAAGAGTCTCTGCGTCATTATGCGTGAGCTGGCAGCCTAAAGGAACATCCAACTACATATGGCATCCAACATGGGGACACGTATTTCCACACAGAACCTGAGAAAGCTTTTTAAAAAAGTTTCAAACACACAAACATGGAAGCAAACACAGCTTCCTAGTCCTGTAGTCTCTCAGGCAGGCCGTGGTATACAGAACGTGGCTCCCAGATGCTGCCTGCTGGCTTGAGCCAGCCAGCACCATGTGCAGAGCCATGTGGTGAGTTTAAGGCTCAGTTCATATGGTCAGAAAAGGCTGCAGGTGCACAATAAAGCGGTCCAGACTGAGAAAGTCTCTAAACAGGTATCGTTAAAAAAAATGAGTATAGACAGTCATAGAAAAAATAGTTTAAAAATAATAAAGTCTTTAAAGAGAGAGTAATCTAAAAATAATAAGCCACATAAAGATGGGAGATACATAGGACATCTGGATCCTGTATGGTGCTTTCTTAACTTTGAATTTTTAAATGCTAATGAACAAAACCAATAGCTTCTGAGAGACATTGGATTATGGAAACTACTAAATTAAATCAAACTATATATTTTAAGAATGCCTTAACTTCAAAATGGAAGTCAGGAAATGTGTGTGTTGGGGAAGAGGCAGTACTTTTGTTTCCACAGGAAATGAAAAGCTATGGATTCCTTCAGAATTAATGAATATCAGATTTGATTGAGGGAGACTTGAAAATCTTGACTATAGGCATAAAGGAAAAAAGCCAAGAAAGACTACAGAACAGTGACTCATATGCCGGTCTCTCAACATGGGAACGCCTGAAACTGGGTGAACATGATAAATCTTGTTGGTTAGAGGACTCATGACTTATTATTACATGCCATTCTTTCATGTGGCATGAATTGAGGTTTGGTTGTATAGTCGAAACCAACTTGTAAAAGTAACAGATGCCTTTTACCTGTTCAAACATAAAACAAAAGCTTATCTTTAGCACACTGCATATTCCATACATGTGTTAATACAGATATATATTACCTTTAAAATTTATGTCTTTTCAGAGCAAAAGGACCGGACACCTGTTGTGGAATAGAATATTTGTTTAACTAAGATGTGTTACATCCTTTTTTTTTTTCCCGACATCTTAGGGAGGCTGCAGTGGTCGTCGCCACTCTCCGAACTTCATCATGCCGCCCAAGGATGACAAGAAGAAGAAAGATGCCGGAAAGTCGGCCAAAAAAGACAAAGACCCAGTAAATAAGTCCGGTGGCAAGGCCAAAAAGAAGAAGTGGTCCAAAGGCAAAGTTCGGGACAAGCTCAACAATCTAGTTCTGTTTGACAAGGCTACATACGACAAACTCTGTAAGGAAGTGCCCAACTATAAACTTATTACTCCAGCTGTGGTCTCTGAGAGACTGAAGATTTGTGGTTCCTTGGCCAGGGCAGCCCTTCAGGAGCTCCCTAGTAAAGGGCTTATTAAGCTGGTTTCAAAGCACAGAGCCCAAGTAATTTACACCAGAAACACAAAGGGTGGAGATGCCCCAGCTGCTGGTGAAGATGCTTGAACAGGTTCAATCAGCTGTACATTTGGAAAAATAAAACTTTATTAAATCAAAAAAAAAGAGATGTGTTACATTTGTTTGTGTTGCAGAATATTTGTTTAACAATATAGAGGTGTTGCTTTTGTTTATGCTGCATTTGTTTAACTATGAAAAGGTGTGTTGCTTTTGTTCATGCTGTATTTATTTAATTATGTAAAGATGTGCTCCATTTGCTTGTGTTGCAGAATAGTTGTTTGACTATGTAAAGATGTGTTGCTGTTTTGCTTTGTTTACCTAAAGCACCTGGTAATAATTGGTCTAATAAAAAGTTGAATGGCCAATAGCTAGGCAGAGGAGGGATAGGTGTGACTGGTGGGCAGAGAGAAGAGGGGAGCCAGCCAGCTGAGGGACAGCAAGCTGGGGACCAGCCAGACATAGAGGAAGCAGGAAAGCAGGATAGACAGTATGCAGATGAGGTAAATGAGCCTCAGGGCAGCACATAGATTAATAGAAACGGGTTAATTTAAGTTTTTTTTTTTTTTAAAGAGCTAGCTCGAAATGTGCCTAAGCTGAGGCCGGGCATTCATAATTAATAAGTCTCCAGGTCATGACTTGGGAGCTGGCAGTCCAAGAAAGCCTGCTACAGACACCAATAAAGACAAGTAGCCCAGGTGATCCAGCCTCTCAGAATGCCTCTGTTAACAGTTTCCTCACAATTCTGCATCCAGAACAATTTCAAGGCTATTAGCTGAGATGATCCAGCATCACAGACTACCCAACCAGGAATTAAGATAAGCTCCATACTTTCCTATCACATAGAGACGAAACAAAAAATAACACAACTAGCTCTCCCAAGACTTGACCATTAATCTCAATTTTTTCAAGGTCTCCTAAAGATGTCGTTGCCCTCAGACAACAGAAAGTAGTTTTAAATAACGACACCCACATTTTTGCAAATCGTTACTGGTTATGGTAAGGGAAGAAGCTAAGCAAGGGAGGTGAGATTCAAGGATCGCATTCTGAAAAGGAAAAGGGGGGATATAGGAATGATAGGACAAAAGGGTATTGTTGAATCTACTTTGAACTAAAAAGCAACTATTAATATCAAATACTTAACACTGCTATGGATTTTTAGTATATCGATATAAATTTAAGGTTGTTTTTGTTAGGAAATGCTCTATAGATGTCTCTACTCTTGTTTAAGGTACTTTTGTATATCAACTAAGCTTCTCTTGTAGTAGGGACATTGACCTGCTGTTTCTTATGAAATTCTGAGGCTTCTATTTCCTATTAGTAGCTGATAAATCTCATCATTACCTTGAGCTAGAGGGACTGGTAGACCATGTGGTATCTGATATGCGTAAAAAAGGTGTGGGCCCGCCTGCTTGCCCTCTCTCTCCTCTCTCTCCCCTGGATGCTGGGTTTGGTTTCTGTTCCCAGTTCATACAGAGGCCTGTGATCTGTGAGTTCCCTCTAAATAAAGAACCCTTTTACTATACTCAATTCTTAGCTACTGTGGGATTATTTTATTTATTATTATATTTCATTTCTCTGTACTGCCAGCTCCCACATAACCACATAGAGACTTGATTATGAAATCCTGGCCTTACCTTAGGCTTGTCCCATTAGCTCTTATAACTCAAATCAACCCATTCATTTTAGCTTATGCTCTGTCACGTGGCTCATTACCTCATCTCTGTAATGCTTTTGCTGCTTTCTCTGCCTCAGGCTGGCAACCCTGCCTTTCTTCTTCCCCGAGCACTCTCTGTCCCCAGAAGTCCCACCCAACCTCTTCCTGCCTAGCTATGGGCCATTCGCAATATGAAAATGATCACAGTGACACATCTTCACGCAGTGTAACGAAATATTCCACAACACTTACCTGTCAGGCTTTCTTCTGGGACCCAAAGAATCATGTACTGATTATTGCCAAAACTTTGAGAGTCATAACATCCTTATCAACCAAAGGTTTCAATCATGTAATTGTGCCTCCTCAAAGGTATATACGAGTCCTTATCAGGGGTACCTGACTTTACTTGGAAATAAGACCCTGGCATACTGTCTTCATAGGAAGAGAAATCAGAAACAGGGGTAAGCAGGCAAGAGGCCATAAGAAAACACGGGCAGAGACTGGAATGAGCTCACAGGAGCTAGAGATTGCAGGTAACCATGAGATAGCTGGAAAGAGGTGGGAAGGCCCTACCCAGAGCCTCCTACACCGACATACCCAGATGTGGAGAATTGGCCTCCACAACTGTAAACCAGTAACTTTCTTGTTGGGCAAATTCTAATTGGTCTTACTAATAAAAACCCGGAGCCAGATATCGGGGTAAATGCTGAAAGGTCAGAGACAAAAGAGCAAGCCACAGCCAACTCTTACCTTGCTAACTCCTCAGCTGAAAAATGGGTCGAAGGCCTGTCTCCTCCTACCTTCTATTCCTCTCTTCCACCCAGCCATATCACTTACTGTTTGTCTTTACGGACAGACCTGTCCACCCTCCAGATTTCTATGGTTAACTAGTGGCTAGCTCCACCCCCTGATCTTCAGGCAAACTTTATCTGTCAGAACACAAACAAAATATTACCACACTTTCTGTCGTTCAATGTCTAAGAAACTAGTAATGGGGAAGCCAGATTCCAAATCCAAAGGTAATGCTATCATTTGGAGATGAACACCTAGAGCTGGATCCAGCTAAGACTAGAAGGATATCAAGGAAAACTTTGGAGGCAGGCCTGGTGGGAGCATATCTGTGATCCCAGCACTGGTGTATTTGTATGTGTATATACGACAGAGTTGGAGGCCAGCCTAGGCTAGGTAGTAGGTCCTGTCTTCAAATAAAACAAAACATGAAAAAGGAAAGAAGGGGTGGGGGCTGGAGAGATGGCTCAGAGGTTAAGAGCATTGCCTCCTGAGTTCAATTCCCAGCAACCACATGGTGGCTCACAACCATCTGTTATTTGTTCTGGTGCCCTCTTCTGGCCTGCAGGCATACACACAGACAATATTGTATGTATAAGAAAGAGAGAGAGAGAGAGAGAGAGAGAGAGAGAGAGAGAGAGAGAGAGAGAGAGAGGCTCATGAGATGGCTCAGAGGTTAAGAGCACCTGCTGTTCTTGCACAGTATTGGAGTTTGATTCCTAGCATCCACATGATGGTTCTCAACTGTTTGCAACTCTAGTCCTATACAACCTCTTCTGACTTCTGCAGGCAGCAGGCATGCATGTGGCACATTTATATACATACAGGCAAAGCAGTTATACACATTAAATAAAAAAAGAGGGCCAGAGAGATAGCTCAGTATAACCACTGTGTGCTGTTTCCACAGAGGACCTGAGTTCAGTTCTCAGTACCCACATCAAGTGGCTTACAACAGTTTATAACTCCAGTTTCAGATGGCTGTTGTGAGCTATTTGTACACTGAGAAGAGGTATTGCTGTGGTTGGTGTAATAAAAATCTGAATGGCCTATAGCTAGGCAGGAGAGATAGGTGGAACTTCTGGGGAGAGAGGAAGAGGATAATCGAGGCGCAAAGGAAACACCATGGAGATGTGGAATGAGTCAGACACACAGAATGGGAGAGAGGTAAGAGCCATGTGGCAGAACATAGACTAATAAAAATATGGGCTAATTTAAGTTATGAGCTAGTGAAACAAGCCTAAGCTAAGGCCAAACTTTCACAATTAATAATAAGTCTTTGTGTTGTTTGGGAGCAGGCAGCCCAAAGAAAAGCTTGATTACACATGGTATACAATGTGGGGGCATGTATTTCCACATAGGACCTGAGAAGTTTTTAAAAGTTCCCATGGTGGCTCACAAACATCTGTAGTGAGATTTGGTGCCCTCTTCTGGCCTTCAGGCACACATGCAGGCAGAACACTGTATACATAATAAATAAATCTAAAAAAAAAATTCCAAACATACAAATGTACTGATATTTCATTTGTATTTTATATTTATTTATTTGTTTGTTTGTTTTTCAAGACAGGGTTCTCTGTAGTTTTGGAGCCTGTCCTGGAACTAACACTTGTAGACCAGGTTGGCCTCGAACTCAAAGAGATCCACCTATCTCTGCCTCCCAAGTACTAGAATTAAAGGCATGTGCCACCACTGCCTGGCTCCATTTGAATTTTAATAAATAAAGCTTGCCTGAAGATCAGAAAGCAAAACAGTCAAGCTAGCCAACCATACAGGCCAGGCATTGGTGCACACACCTTTAGTCTTAAAAGAGAAACGTATTTTCCACTTTTAAAAAATGGGGAAAAAACATTACAATGGAGGGATTTGGGTCTCTGTATGATAATATGCTAGACAGTTTGAAAATGCACCCATTAAATGAGAGTATATCTAATTCAGATCAGCTTTATTATTTTTGTCTTATCACTAAAAATGTGGTTAATCTGAGTGCTAAGATACAGGCCTTAGAAAAACCTAATAAAACAGATCACAGAGATATTCAAATCCAAGCAGAGGAATTTAATGGAGAATCAATTTCAGCATTACATTGTAAGAATAGAGAGGAAAAGCCTAAAGTTTTCAGACTAAACTTTAATATATCCAGTAACCTTACAGTATTTACCAATTGGCAGAGGCTCTGTTAGAGCTGAATGGACTCCTGTGCCAATGTTAAATTTAAGGAGATTCAAGGAAGCAATTGTCTCATATGGCATGCATTCACTTTTTGTGAAGCAAATGTTAAACTTGTGGTCAGTTTGTAATAGAACTATCCCTAAAGGCTGTATAGAATTGGCTAAAGGTGTTTTAGAGCCTGGTCCACAGTTACAATGGAGTACCTGGCTAGAGAAGAGGTTAAGATTATTGAACAACAGAGTAAAGCTAGAGGTAGGGAAATCTCCCAAGATCAAATTCTTGGAGAAAGAGATTATTCTACTACAGAAAGGCAGGCTGTATAGGATGACCACACCCTGAATTTATGTCATGCACCAGCTTTGAATGCTCGGGACAGAACTGGAGAAATAGAAAAGAAAATTGAGTGATTTACTAAAGTTATACAGGGCCCAAAGGAAGCCTTTAGGGATTTCTTACAAAGATCAACTTCAACAGTAAATAAAATAATAC